CACATAGTATTACACAACAGAAAACAATTAGACAATGAAAACCTCATCTTTAGTATGCATATTTATAATGCTAGATCTAAAATATCCTTTCATATACCATAAAAACATCTGCATATATCAGTATTTAAATCTCAAGGGATATGTGACAATAAACATTGAAACTAACACAAAAGTTGCCTTCATTAGTAGAATCTTTATGGTAATGGGAAAACCTGAAATGGATTATGGGTACTGTAGTTGTAGGCAGAGCGAGAGAAACATCCCATCATGCCTCCTCTGCCGTGTATATACGGTACATCAACGTGACGATTACTGCAGCGATAGCAGGTATCAACCAGTTTGACCACCAGCTGGAACAAGAGACCCAGTGGAAGGTTTGGAACAAAGCACTTGGTAATTAACTTGAATTATTAATTGGAATCTTGCTATTTCTGTACTACAATAGAAAGTTTCAAGTGAAATTAAGAGAAAACAAACTTGCACTCAAACAACACAAGTTACAACATCCACATTTCTTAAAAATGTCTCAAAACATTTAGCTTTGTGTGTGTTGTTTGGTTGGGTTATTCTTAGGCATAGCATTTGGTCGTTCACTTGAACTTACCTTGTGCTTTCTTGTACGGTCGTTACAAGTGATTCCTATTAAACAGAAAACCAAACGCGTGTTTAGGTGTTTCCACACAATGCAAGTCCAAAACAAAGACACTGCAGAGTTTGTTAAAATCATAAGCATGGAAAAAAACTATTTGAAAAATGAATTACGTACTGGTGGTTTGGCAAGCTTGTCCCTGTCATCCTGCGAGAAATGCAGAGGAGGAGAGGCATGAATAAAAATAGCACAGGCTTTTTCACGCATTGACATTTTATCAACAAAGCAAATTAATCAGCATGTCCTACCGAGCACATAGTGACTAAAACCTATAAATCGGCTTTACAGTGGTTGTCAAAATAACTAGTAATCAGGCCTGAGCTAAATTCACAATGTATATGTATTTTATATAGCTATCCATAGTGTGTAAATATATATTTACATTACTGTTCAGTCTATTTTATGTTTTTGTGCTAGCCAAGGCTGCATGTATTTGATGATAAATACAGTAAAAGCAGTAATATTCTGAAATATTATTACAATTTATAATAACTATTTTCTATGTGAATATATGTTAAAATGTAATTTATTCCTGTGATTTTCAGCATCATTACTCCAGTCTTCAGTGTCACATGATCTTCAGAAATCATTCTAATATACTGATTTGCTGCTCGAGAAACTTTTCTGATTATTATAAATATGTTGAAAACAGATCTCTTTTTTTCAGGATTCTTTGATGAATAGAAAAGTTCAAAAGAGTTCAAAAGAACAGCATTTATTTGAAATAAAAAAATCTTCTGAAACATCATAAACGTTTAATTGTCACTTTTGATTAATGCAGCAATTAAAGTATTTTAAAATTAGTGCTGTCAAATGATTAATCGCATCCAAAATAAGTTTTTGTTTACATAATATATGTATGTGTACTGTGTTTATTTATTATGTACTGTATATATAAACACACACACAAACAGTATATATTTAGAAATAATTTACATGTATATACATTTATATATTTATATAAATATATTTATTATTTAAACAACATTTTTCTTAAATATATGCATGCATGTGTTTGTATTTATATATACATAATAAATATACAGAATACACACTCATATATTATGTAAACAAAAGCGTTTATTTTGGATGCGATTAATCGTGATTAATTGTTTGACAGCACTATTTAAAATATTTTAAGCATTTTGTTAAAAAATATTAATTTCTTTAAAAAATATATATATGTGTGTGTGTGTGTTACATTTCTATACGTTGTATTTCAAACAATTATTATTATTATTAATATTAATATCATTTGTGTCATTCAAACAAAACAAAAAAAAAGATTATTTTTATTTTAAAAATATATATTTAAATAAGTATTTAGTCCAATGAATTTCTATTTTATTTCTACTTCTTTAAATCTGAATTACTGTTCTGCATGAAAGGTGCACAGCCCTGCTCCATTCCTGTCACAGAAACTGTCTGATAGTATCTGTGCTGAATCCGGCAGCATTACAGATCCTCCAATAGAAATAAAAATGGCTTCCAGGTTATTGATAGTATCTCAAGCCCCTGTGTGTCTATGAAAACATCTCGGATTTCATGAGATGCAACTATGAATCAACAGGTCTGATGTTGTCCAGGATGAGAAATCAAGACTGTTGTTGGATCATTCCCAGATATCTCAGGGGGATTGAGAAGTCTGTTATTTTGATTGTGTGTGTGTGTGTGTGTGTGTGTGTGTTTTTAATCACATAGGTTCCCATTGGCATCCATTGGCATCCATTGGTGTGATGGCATAACTTCACTGAAACTATAAATCGATAATGACTTAATGACTATTCATGCCTTTTTGTATGCCAGCGCTGACTGATGGCTGCAAAGCAACATATGCAAAACAGACTTTGAAAAACATGCAAGGTGCAATTTAAAATTACAGCCACTGAGAGCTGTCTAGCTTTTGAGTTTTTTTTTTTTTCTATTTTCATAAGAGTAGAAATAGAGCATATTGTGAATATATGTTTGAATGTATTTCTCAGAAAGCACACAGGAACTTCATCAGCTGTGTTTGACACTATCTGATGTGTTAATGCTGTATCAAAAGGCCTTCTTCACACTATTGCTCAACAGTAATACTGCGCTCTGGCAGACTTACTGGATGCAGCTCTCCTATGACCATCGAACTGGCCATCTCACGTGCATCTGACGAGTGGCCGACATCTTCAAAACTCTCTGTGGCATCTCCACCCGCCTGCTCTCGCAGCACCTCCTCTCCACCCGGGTGCTGTGGACACCAGCAAATACATCAGATCATCAAGTTTAAAGCAAACCCACCATTGCTTATTGCTTACTTGTAATACCCTTTTGACCTTTGAAAAATGTTGCCTAGGAAATTATCAGTTGATTTAAGTGTCAACAGTGCACTGAGTCATGCAACTTAAAATACCTTGTGTGCATTTTTAGAGTAATGTTACTAGATTAAGTAGTTCTCTAGATTTAGATAATATGGAAAGAGGTGAAAAGTTAGGTTAGGGTGGTTATATAATTACTTCAAAATATTAAATAACAAAAGGTATAAGAGTATAATAATGATTCTAACAACACTAAGGCAAACACCAAAAAAACAACAACTACATATATGTGTATGTACAACCACACACACATACATACATTATATATATATATATATATATATATATATACATTTATAAATTAAAGATATATATGATTTAATTTCCATTTAGTTTGTTGAGTATTAAAATAACTCAAATTAAATAAAACTAAAAACGTAATAAAAGACCTATACAGACATAATAAATTCAGACATAATGTAACTAAAATTAAAATAAATAACAAATACAAATAATACAAATCAAATGATAGTAGTTTATCAGTAATCCTAAAAAATAACACTGCCAAACACACATGCTAAAAAAACAACAACTTACTGACACATAGTAAGAAATGGTTATAAAAACTGAAACAGAAGCGAAAACAAGTAATAGGAAGTTATTACTGTTATTACAGCAAGGTAGTGTGTGATGTACCTATTGCTTCCCTTCACATAAACCTCATCAATAGTAATCAAAAATAACTGTGCATTTGATCTTTAAACGAGTTATATTAGGTTTTATTAAATACATTTCTACATGGTTAATGCACTAATGCTAATTCCACACCTCACACATTAATTGCCAACTGTTGTAATCTTTTCGGTCCAACTTTGAGGGCACTTGGCAAAGGTCACTCCATTCAATACTTACTTTTCAAACTTTTGTATTAGGCGTTTTTAAATGTATTCGCTTATAAACTCTATGCATTATGTATATTTCATTCCTATTATGCATTACACAATTCTAGTGCAACGGTGCTTTGCTTGTTTACACAATGCAGTACATACACGTAATGCATGCATTACACAGTTCCAAAACGACAATATATTAATGCGAATATTTTTGGCACCAAGCTGAACATTTGAGGCTCTGTTTTAAAACTCACCTCCTCGAGAAACTGTGTGACGTCGTACACTTTATTATGAATGATAATCCATGTGCTTTTAAAAGAGTTCCGTTCCTCCACCTCTGACAATCGATAATATTTAACACCCTTTCCGTCTGTTTCGTTGGTTTCCATTTGTTTGTTTAAATGTGTGTTATTTGTGAGGAAGGTTACAAAAACTCTCCAAAAGTTCCCTTGCGAATCGATCACCTCACGTACTTCAATACTGGACTGACCAGCAACAATTGTATTTCCCAACTCGCCAGGCAACGCCCATTCCGCTCAGGACGAAATCTGATTGGACGATATCACGCTTGGGTTGCCTAGCGTGTCTGTTTTGATTGGACCGAGGGCTATCAATCAGCACACTGGGTCATATGTTTCGGTGAAGCTCACGGAGTTACTCGGCAGAAGTTCACGAAAGTTCACGAGAGCATAGTTACGGAAGAGGTGCCGTTTATCGCCATCACGTTAATCTAGTGATGTCCGTTAAGAAGTGGGTTGACCTTAAAGTCATTTTAGCCGCCGTTGTTGATCTTGTTTAGGTGTTTCTGTCAGATAAGAGTATGTTCACTTGAAACATTGTCACGCGAGCTTCCTCGTTCTTGCCGCCAAAAGCTCGCGCTCTAGTACCTCAGCACTTGTTATTGTTGTATAACCTCAAACTGGGGTAAAACTAACCCTTTCTTTCTTTCTTTCTGTCAACACAATGTACGTAATACGCTACACTTTTTCAGAGTTATAACAGAGTTTTGTCTTATCTGAGGTAATTACTGACAGAATATGCACATAATTTCATATTGTCTTTGGACCAAAATAGTCTCTGATTAACCAATAATAGCTTATTTTGGTCACAGATCAGTGACTGTGTTGGTTTGACCAAATTAACCCTCATACATTTATTTTCTGAATGAGTGGAAGTGGGACACAGTCTTTGCTTTTCCTCAATCTTCCCGAGCTGAGGAACTTATGTTGTGTAAATCTGTTCTTCTCGAACAGTTACAGATGAACCAGACTTGAGAAACAAACAAGTGAAAAGACAAATATAATGTGTGCTGGTTATAAAACTGTAGTTTTGGTTTTTCACATATTGATTAGATTCGTGATTGATCTAGAAATTTCATCTAATAGGCTTTGTGATGAAAGGCACATAAAGTGCGATTAGACCCTTGTTGTCCTTGTTGTTAGACCCTTATATTTTGAGGCTTGACTTTATGTAGCTACCCTTTGGACCCATACTCGATTTTTAACTGCTTGAAACACTGGTTAAACTGTTTATTTATTTTGGAGATTGTATGGCTTTTTCTTATACTTTTATGAATATGCATGTTTAGACACACAAATGTGATTTGGAAAGGCTGTACAAAAACATGCTTGGTTCTCATGCAATTCACCAAAAAGCACTTTGAAGAAAAAGAGAGAGAGAGAAAAGAAAAGAAAGAACCAGACATAAAAAGGCAGAGGCTATCTAAGTGCAAATAGGGATAAATACTATTTGATGTATACTTTCTTTTTCTTTTTTCACAAACAAGAAACAAGAAAAATATTAAAAACATTTTTAAAAAAAAAAAAAAAAAAAAAAAGTACTATTTAAGTACAAGTACACTGTGTTTTACTTAGTTTTGTGCACCTCAATGTGCAAATAGTCACTACAAGTAGGCATAATTCAAAAAAAAAAAAAAAATCAAGGACATTTTTAACAAATATATTGGGGTCAAATTGACCCCTATCACGAAGGAAATATATTTTTTAACATAATAGGAATTCATAATTTATTACTTTTATATTTTATAACTCTTACAAGCTGCAATAGGTTTTATGTATTTTTCATAAATACATATGACTCTTCAGTGTTTTTCATATTGTTGATTGTTTTTTAGGCGAATGGAAACCAATGGGGTCAGTTTTACCCCCAACACAAAAAGGGTACTCAGATTTTATCAACATCAGGGTTAATTATATAAAACATTACACTACTGCTTCAACCTGTGAGACCAGCTGAACAGACCACGAGGCTGTTCTCTAAAAAAAAATCTAGAATATGTCATTATCTTGACCTCTGAAGTGTGAAAGGCTTTTCCGTCTGTCTTTCAGGGAGCTTGTTCTCTTGCATTCAGACATTGTTGCTTCTCCTGTGTTGGGCCATTTTGGGGGCATCACTGTTATTATGACTGTAAGTATGATATATTTTGTGATATCAGTTATATTTGCCAGCTTTAAATTGAAAAAAAAAAAAGTTTTTTTTTAAAAATAATTAATAATTGTCCTGTGACGTTAGATAGGAAAACCAGCCTGCTTTATATCTCACAATTCACGCTCAAAATTGCAAGATAAAAAAGTAAATGTGACATAAAAAGTTTTTTTTTTATTCTATGGCTGAAAGAGATGATAAACTTAAAATTCAGAGAAAAATTCAGAATCGCTGGAAAAAAGACTGAATTGCGCGATAAAAAGTCAGAAGTACATTTTTTATCCCATGGCAGAAACAAGCTTCCATAGATTCACGATGCACGCAGAAATAAGGCTGAAGAAATATTTATTTTCATTACACCTAGCAGCCATAATTCTTTGTGTCTCTCAGTTGTATTCCTACGTACATACAGGTCCTAAAAGGCAAGTGCTCTTGCTCATAAAATTGTTTTCAATAAAATGTAACATAATTATATTTAATGATGATTTGAATTAGCGCCAAAATCGATTACTAAAAAAAAGTCCATGTCACACAAAACATTTATGATTTATATTGCTTTTCCTGTCAAAACATGTTATTGTTCTTCTTTTTCCCTCAGTGTTCGTGATATGTGCATCACCTTGCGTGCATGTGCACCTGTCAGAGAAGTTTGTGCTGTTGCATATGTGTGACTTTTCATCTGAGGGTGCATGTGTGTCTGCGTGTCAGCACAGCTCGTGCAAAGGCATGTCCCATGCAAAGCTAAATATTTGAGGCACATTCCACACACTCTGTCATCTCCTTTCCTTCACAACAAATGTTGTGAATGTGCTGTCAGACTTCAGTGGGTGCACTGGTGAATAATTGACTATGTTGTGCTTATGTAACTTCCATGACTTTTGTACGTGTGTAGCCAAAAGGAGAAAGGCGACATGCCTTTGTATCGACGCAACTCAATGAAAAGACTGAATGAAGTTTTGTGTGTTTCACTAGATCACTAGCTTTGGTCAGTGTTTGATTTACAGTGGCCTAAACGTGCTATTTTTGTTTAACTGTCCATTCTGATTTTCTTTGTTCTCTGCACTTTGTCTTAGATTGCATTTTACAAGAGCGGTATCATCCAGGCTTTTGCACAGAAACATGGTCTACAGGTTGTTTGTCCAGAAAAATGTCTCAAATATCCGTTGCTCCATGAGTTCAGTCTGACCCTACAATATTTGACTGGCCTGAATTTTGTCTCCACTGCATCAAAACATACACTACAGTTCAAAAGTCTGGGATCAGTAAGATTTTTTTAAACGTTTTTGAAAGTCTCCTTCAAAAGACGTCACTGCATTTGCTTGATCAAAAATACAGTAAAAACAATAATATTATGAAATACTATTATTATTAAAAATAATTGTTTCCTGTGTGAATATATTGTAAAATATAATTTATTAATGTGATGCAAAGCTAAATTTTCAGCATCATTACTGTAGTCTTAATGTTACATTATCCTTCAGAAATCCTTTTAATATGCTAATTTGCTGCTCAAGATACATTTCATATTATTGTCATCAAACAGGTGAATACAAATACAGCTGCTTAATATTTATGTGGAAGCTGTGATATTTAAATGTTCAAATGAAAGGTTGCATTGCAAAACATCAGACCTGTATCTGATTTAGGACCACAAAAGAACTGAATTGAAAAGATCAGAATTGGAAATCAGATTTGGGCCACATTTGCCTGCTGTGTGAACATAGCATTTTTTTTTGCCTTGTAGCTCAACCGTTCTGCAGACGTGTTTGTCTTATTCTGTGACTGCTAGACTGGCCCCTAAATGGAACAAAGCAGGACAATATCTAATAGCAGGTGAGGGGCAATATCCCAGAGCCAGTATACTTACAAGAGCCTGAAACATTTCCATGTTTAAAAAAAATCAAGCTGAATTTTGCCTGTGCATGGTAAAGGCAATAGAAATTCACAATTATTGCTCACTGAATGTGAAGGCAGTCATTCACTAGTGTAGGCTGAGAGTAAAGTTCACTTTGTGGCTGATTTAGCTGGTGTGTAATCTTAACTGTCGCTTCACCTTGAGCATTCTTAATAGTGCAGGCATGAGTAATTCATGTAGTCTAAGAATGGATGATCCTTGCATCTTTACTGAGCTAATATTTGTATTGCCTTGGCTCAAGGTCAGCAAGAGTCAGCTCAGCTTAGTTTAATGGAAATGAGCACACACATCAAGTTTTGGAGTTCAACAGTGTTGTCATGAATTATCACTCTGCCAGTTTAATACACCATAATTACAGTTACACTTACTAATTAAAGTAATGGTAATTAATCGGGAAAGTACGTGTGATTCTTCTAATCAAGAGTCAATTAGAAGGTCGTTCACTTTTGTTTCTCATCCAAGATTGATTGGGTATTTAAAAAAATTCTGCATAAAATGTGTGTAATAAAATGTTAAAATGAGTGCATGATAAGATAATCAGACAGTTTGATGGCCTTGTGTTGGAGGCCGTGCCTTGAAAACGTGTGTTGTGCCGTCCTTGAGCTCAGTTAAAGCTGCGTTCATGGCTCTCAGAAGTATTTGGAGTTCTCTATCAGAGAGAATTTACTATAATTAAATCTTTCTTAGTGAATATGCGAGTTCTTTAAAACACATCGTCGAAGATTCATCTTAATGATCTTACCAGATTGCAACACTCCCCCATCACACAGCATTTAATGAATTACATAGAAATCTCAGTGCAGTTTGTTTCATAATCTTTGAGTAACAGTGATTTTTCCTTCTTTCCCAGAAAAAGATTTCCTCAGTGACTCTGGAAAACGCAATGCGGTTGGTAGGTGGGAGGCATCTGAATACTTTGGCAAGAGACACTGCCATTTGTATTCGTATTGTTAGACTGTGATTTCACTTGATCGCAGGCAAGGAGTGACTTGTATAGATAAACATTTAAATGTATTTCTACTAGTGAAAACAATATCTTTTGTGCTGTTTTGCTCACTGTTAGCACATTATGTACTTCTTTTGCTTTATCCGAGAATCATTTGTTTTTTCGGAGTCACATATTAAGCCACAGTTTATCACGTTGCGTTCTACCCTAAAGCCTAGATGACTTTCACAGTTCACTCAGTAACTTATGATGACACAGACAGATGTTTTCTCATTCTCACTGACTCGTGCTCACATCTATACTGTTGTATATTCATTCACAGTGCTTGAGCTGAGTCTCACTGAGACTCAACTGTGTGTCGGTGTGGAAGCCGACACAGTCAGACTTCCTCCAGCTGTGGTAAGAATTCAAACACCTCCAGCCTGCGTTCACAATCTCCAGTCTAGCCTCTTATGACCTATGAACCAATTTACTGCCGTTGTCATGCATTACACATTTGCCTCAGATCATGTCCTATGCCTGAGTCAGTTATCTAGCTTACGTCAACCTGATTGTGCTGAGTGGACAGGAGAAGAAAAAGCTTTTCTCTTAATTGTTGTTAATGTTGATTCAGATGACTAGCTGAATCCAAGTGGTGTGCTTGTTTGTTATATTCATTTTCTTGTTTTCAACAAGATTATTTCAACATTATTGTAAACTATTTAGTATATAACAAATATGCATATAAATAATATGTGTACTGTATATGCATATATACATGTGCATAAAAAGGAGTCATTATTCATAATCGATTTAGACAAATATTATGAATATACTCAAATACATCTAAGGTAAGTTAAATATTAATTTAAACTATTTGCATATAACAATATAAATAAAGCATATCAAATATAAATCATATATAATAATTTCAGTAACAAATTCTATGTATATTTCAGTATATTCATTACAAACATGTTCATGTATAAATATAATAATGCATTTCTACTTCCTGCATATATAGCTATGATACATAGAGCATAATATTTGCATTAAATCATTTGGTAAATAGTTATTTTAACAAATAGCTGTATTATTGAAATAATAATTGACATAAATGAGACCAGTTATTCACAGGAAGACTATCAGATTGCTATATTTCTTGTTCTTGTTCCTGTGTGTGGTGTTAATTTATGCTCATCTGTCTTCTGCCAGATACAGGATTTTGATATTCCTGCTCCTGTGGTGAAAAAGTAGTCCTCCACACTAATGATGCTGTGCTGGATACAGTCATGCCAAATAACTGGTGCCATGTTCTGCCAAGGTATGTGTTTGTGTATATGTGTGCATGTGTGAATAGACTGCTTTATACCGTGTTGTTGTTACGTTTTTACAACAGACACATTCTAAAGCTGTACTGATGCTCCACTGGGCATCATGGAGGGAAAAGGTCCTAATCATAATCTCCTTTGTTGTCAGTGTCAGATTTAGACAAATTAATCAATATTTTTCCTTCATTGTTTTCTGTGTGTGTGTGTGTGTGTGTGTGTGTGTGTGTGTGTGTGTGTGTGT